GCAATTTTGTGAGACTGAACCAGATGCAAGTCTGAATGGGGCCCCAGGTCACATGGCAGTGATAATAAGCAAATTATTTTCAATCCATTGCATAAAAAAAGGTACTTAAGAGTCATAGCAGCTCACTGAGCAAAACTGAGAATTTCCAATTTTGTTGAAATGTTGCAGAGTGAAAATTTGGCAAATTTGCCATTTTGGCAAAACAGCTCTAATTGTCCGCTCCAAGCTCACTCCTGTGATGGACTACAATCTCATGTTTAGTTTACGAATTTGTATTGAGATTGTAGATCATCATGGGAGCGAGGTTGGAGCGCTGACTACTTTACAACATACACAGGGAACAAGGGGGACAAAAGTAGCCCCCCTCCAGAAGGAAGGACAGTGTCAGCACCAATTCAGAGATGATTTGGGGATCTACAACTGAGTGATACACAAATAAGATACATTGTTGTTAATAGTTAAAGTATTTGAATGTATTTTTAAGATTAAACCCTTGAGTTTAGTGTCACTTTAAGTTGAACTTAAGTTGGAGTTCTCTTGAAGTCAGGGGACCACCGGCTACTCGGCATCCACAGCAGATGTGCAGCACCAGATTCACAGGCTACGCTTTGGCACCGAAAAGACAGAAAGCAGAAGACGCGGAAAGTCCATTCTTTATCGCCGATCGCTGCTTGTTTATACAGAGAGATGGAAAAAGAAATAAAAAATAAAATAATGGAATACAAGAGCTGCCAAGGCTTTAATATAAGAAAGTGGCGATCTGGCGCGTGTCCTCTGAGCGGATGACTGATCAGCGCTGAACATGAAAATAAAAAAATCTGAGATTAGAAAATTGTCATGTAGGAGACAGACAGCCGGTCGTCGTGACAGCAAAGGATGACCGGACTGACTTTCTTTTGACAGAAGAACTCTTCTTAAAGAAAATCTATACTTCCAAAAGTAAAAAGCTGTTTAGATCTCCACATGTCATGTAACTTTTTTTTTTTTTAACTGGTAGAACTGGGAGGTCTACTGGTATGATACTTACACCAGACACCCAGCATAATTTATTTGTGTCTGTCCCCCACACCAACCAGAGAACTGAAATACACGCACATGGCCATCTTGTGTCTGGGATACAACATCGTTTTATATATCAGGACAAAGAGCAGGCTTGTGTCAGAGAGTCTCTCGAGTAATAATACCGCACACAGAACCAGACTGAGAATTTCATAATGGCAGCGGAAGAGACGAGACTCTGCAGAGAGTGAAAATAGGTTAATTACATTCCTGGTTGGCATCTGTAAAAACCGCTTTCTGGCATAAGACCGCTGTCATCAGACTCAGAACAAAGACACCAAAATCAACATCGACTATCTATCTATCTATCTATCTATCTATCTATCTATCTTATCTATCTATCTCTCCATCTGTTATCTCTCCATATATTATCTATCTATATCTATCTATCTACAATCTATCTCTATCTATCTATCTTATCTTTCTCTATCTATCTATCTATCTATCTATCTATCTATCTATCTATCTATCTATCTATCTATCTATCTATCTATCTATCTATCTATCTCTCCATCTGTTATCTCTCCATCTATTATCTATCTATCTATCTATAATCTATCTATCCATCTGTTATCTATCTATCTATCTATCCATCCATCTGTTATCTCTCCATCTATCTATCCATCCATCTGTTATCTCTCCATCTATCTATCTATCTATCTACAATCTATCTATCTATCTATCTATCTATCTACAATCAATCTATCTACAATCAATCTATCTACAATCTACATATCTATCTATCTACCGTATCTATCTATCTCTGATATGTCATACATGTTTATTTTTTTAATCTTTTCTTTTTTACTATGCATGTTCCAGTGCAAATTAGTGGAAAAACTGGATGAATTAAACATGACTCCGATTTCATAGGAAGTTGGACAACATCCAGTAATATATTTTCATTGTTCTTTCCCCCGTGGGTGGAAGTTTGTGCAATCATTGCCAGAAAAGCTTTTATGTCCTAGTCTCAATGAAAGTAGTGTTGACTTTAATGTGGCTGCTCATTTCACTTTTCTGCAATTCTCATATCATCTTCCTCCGGACCTCTACTCGGGACAAGAACCTGCCGTGACAATGGTGGAGGATGCTTTTCTTGTAGAAGCATGAGGGTGGAATCATGACCTCTCCTGCGATTGGATGGCTAAGACAATCACTAAATGTGGAAGAAGCAGTAACATCTGATCTTGATTTCATGGGGGCGGCCCCCGGATTTACAGATTTATTGCTGAATATTTGTCTCTCCAGTAATGACCTTTGTCTGTCGATGCTGAAGAACTATGGGGTCTATTCACAAAGCTGCTGAGGGCAGCCGAGTGAATGACCGATCAGAAGTGAAGTGAGCCGAACACTGTTCGGCTATTCACTTCAGGCTGGTACGGCTGATTTCAGCCGTATATCGGCTGAAATCAGCCGTACATCGGCTTGCTTCGTGTGGCTTCGGATCAGCCGAACATGCTCAGCATGTTCGGCTGATCCGAAGCCACACGAAGCAAGCCGATGTACGGCTGATTTCAGCCGTATATCGGCTGAAATCAGCCGTACATCGGCTTGCTTCGTGTGGCTTCGGATCAGCCGAACATGCTCAGCATGTTCGGCTGATCCGAAGCCACACGAAGCAAGCCGATGTACGGCTGATTTCAGCCGTATATCGGCTGAAATCAGCCGTACATCGGCTTGCTTCGTGTGGCTTCGGATCAGCCGAACATGCTCAGCATGTTCGGCTGATCCGAAGCCACACGAAGCAAGCCGATGTACGGCTGATTTCAGCCGTATATCGGCTGAAATCAGCCGTACATCGGCTTGCTTCGTGTGGCTTCGGATCAGCCGAACATGCTCAGCATGTTCGGCTGATCCGAAGCCACACGAAGCAAGCCGATGTACGGCTGATTTCAGCCGTATATCGGCTGAAATCAGCCGTACATCGGCTTGCTTCGTGTGGCTTCGGATCAGCCGAACATGCTCAGCATGTTCGGCTGATCCGAAGCCACACGAAGCAAGCCGATGTACGGCTGATTTCAGCCGTATATCGGCTGAAATCAGCCGTACATCGGCTTGCTTCGTGTGGCTTCGGATCAGCCGAACATGCTCAGCATGTTCGGCTGATCCGAAGCCACACGAAGCAAGCCGATGTACGGCTGATTTCAGCCGTATATCGGCTGAAATCAGCCGTACATCGGCTTGCTTCGTGTGGCTTCGGATCAGCCGAACATGCTCAGCATGTTCGGCTGATCCGAAGCCACACGAAGCAAGCCGATGTACGGCTGATTTCAGCCGTATATCGGCTGAAATCAGCCGTACATCGGCTTGCTTCGTGTGGCTTCGGATCAGCCGAACATGCTCAGCATGTTCGGCTGATCCGAAGCCACACGAAGCAAGCCGATGTACGGCTGATTTCAGCCGTATATCGGCTGAAATCAGCCGTACCAGCCTGAAGTGAATAGCCGAACAGTGTTCGGCTCACTTCACTTCTGATCGGTCATTCACTCGGCTGCCCTCAGCAGCTTTGTGAATAGACCCCTATGACTATAACATAATACTTCTGTAGATGTACTGTATAAGAGAGGCAAACTAAGGCACTTCAAATGGTAATCATAAAGAAATATCCAATATATTGAAGTAGAATAATGCATTTATCATGCAAAACATGCACCCCACATGCAAATGTTAGGACGCACTTTAAAGAGAAATGATCCTGATTGGGCTTCTATGAGAACAATCATTCTTAAAAGATTGTAACTACTCTTTTAAATATTAATATATACTTCTTAAGTTAGCTTTACTTTTAGGAAAGGCTTCTTGAGGTCTGACAGTGTCTGTAAAGTCAAAGTCTTTTTTTTTTAAAGCTCTGCGGTAAGGTGCGTGTATCATGAAACAAACTCCTGTGAATAAAAAAAGTGAACAGTGAAATCACAGCACACAAAAAAGTGCACAAGGGTGCATGGTCCTCGAGGGTCTCGATTTCCCTGAACCTCCCGGGTTAGAAGACTTCTGACAGGGGCATGGCACTCTACTCCCCAAAACGTAGGGACTGGCTGAAGCTGGTCCTACAAGTACTAGATAGCGGCTCTCCTGAAGGGAGACCCCTGAGTTGGGAAAGGAAAAAGACTAGTTAAGGCCACAGATCATCCCCCAGACATCAGGGCAAGCCCCCAAAAGACCTGCACCCTCCATCTCTGTGGAGTGAAATATGCTCGTGCAGAATAAATAAGTGCTATAAAGAAATAAGTGCCATGTGCAATACATGGGAGGCCTTGTGGCCTGTATAAAAAATTGCTCTGGACTAGCCAGACGGTCTGCCTCTGAGGCGTGTGCAAAATGGTGATGTGACCTAGTGCCAGGTGCCACACTTGTGGGGACGCCAACCCCAGGGGGCATATCACCCGAAGCTCCTTACGCTTCCAGCCTATGGCCAGACAAGGACAGCCCCCCCTCCTACTAGCCCCCTCCTACTAGAAGACATTAGCACTGGAGGGATTCCTGACTACAACTGGGGACACGCCTGGTACACAAGGCCAGAATCAACCCAGGAGGAAAAGAAAGCCCCAACCAGTACCCACCGATTACTCCAGGGAATACTAGACAGCCATCTCCCTGTCTGAAGATGGCGCCGTTCTTTCCTGAAAACTGATAAGAACAGATACTACATTTGATTTTAGCCAAAAGGCCCAGAGAAGTCAACTAGCTGACTTCATCTTGATAACCGTGGGTTTCCCAGCTCTTAAATGCATACAGCAGCATAATGTCACCTAAGGACAATCACAGTCAGCACTCAGGGGGTCCTCTAAGCTCTAACACTCACCTTAGAGAATCATCTTCAAAATAAGTAAAGCTAAGCAAAGGGATAAATGAAATATTTTATAGGACTGACCATTCAGATTCTTGCATAAGCCCACTCATGATGTTGATAAAATGTAATCAATTCTGAGGAAGCTACTTACCAAGATGGGGAACCCCATTAGAAAGTCGTATATAAACACAATCCCAGATATCAAATAAGTAATTTGAAGTGAAGTCTTAATGGGCTCTGACCCATCTATTGATGACCTCCTCTTCCCATGAGCATCCTCAACCACAATAGTGGGCACATTGAATTTGTTTTTGTCTATGTTCTGCCCGGTTTGCATAGAAAAAGTCTGAAAAAGTGAGATGCCAATGCAGACCACTCCAACCACTACACTGCCACTGATCAGCAGGAGGAAGCACAGGCCAAAGCCCAGTCCGATCTCCGTCACAATGAAGCGGCAGTCCCCGGCGTAGAATCTTTGGGTTGGGTTGTGCCATCCGACAGCGGGTAAAGTGGAAAGGATAAAAGACACCATCCATATGCCCATGACGGTGTGTACTGCTTGCTTCTTTGTATTGCTTAACCTGGAAACATGACAAGAATTAAAGAGACATGTCACTCATTATTATTCGAGACTGGCTGAATGCAGCTATATTGGTTGCAGTGTGCTTATCCATAGAAGGTCACTTCTTCTGGAATTTTTGTAATGCCTGCTTTTCTGTAACCTCTCACCTCTGAGATTTATTCATTTATGTGTTTATTTATTTATTATTACAGGTATTTATATAGCATTGAAAATTTATGGATCGTTTCACATACTGCGCATTCACATCAGTCTCTGTCCTCAAGCAGTTTACAATCTACATTTCCTAGCTCACATGCATACAGGACCGATTTAGACAGGAGACATTTAACCTTCTAGCATGTCTTAGAGTGTGGGAGGAAACCGAAGTGCCCGAAGGAAAACCACGCAAGCACAGGGAGGACATGCAAACTCCCTTTCATTGGTTTGGTTGGTTGATTTTTTTCAGTTTGAAAAGAATCCACATGGAAGTTCCTTGCAATAGAAGAGCTTTAATGCTCATCTCTCCGGTGGCCTGTGCCTTCTACCATTCGTTTGTTCAAGACTCAATTAGACTCTTCAACAGTTCAGGAATGTCAGATGCCCATGTCCTTCCTCCCACACCATGGTTCTGTTCTACGACCTGTATATCACTTTAAGACTCTGCAGTAATGTAGGGGTAGGAGGACAGAAACACAGCACATGGTGGAGGACATAGGTGGAAATGTTGCATGCGCAAAAGTCTTAACATAGGCTGCAGCACTGGAAAGAAGAAAGGTAGAAGACTTCCACCACCAGCTTTATTGCAGGCACCTTTCTTCTTCTTTTGGAAACCTGATAGGGTTGCTTTCACTGTGCAGCTTATCCAGTTGGTATGTATTATATATATATATATACACACACAGTATATATGCGTGTACATTTGCAGAGTCAAGTGGCCAGTCCCCTCAGAGATGACATTCCAGAATTTGATTGATCCTGGGGAGTTAGATCAAATAACAATATTTGGAAACTATAGATGAGTTATTTCATCTGCTTTTGAGTTCCTGGGTCTTTACAACAGCTGTGGAGATTATATGGGATTCTCTTTCCTTTTTATTTATTTGATTCTATAGAGAATGTAAAAGGATGAGCTGGAAGACACAAAGGTAGGTAAGAACAGCTGTAACCAGCAAGTGGACAGGAGCAGGATTTGGAATTATGGCAGGGAGATCTCATTGTTGGCGTGTCCAAGACCTGCAATAAGCCAAGGGCTCATTCACAGTCCACCAGTAACTAAAATATTATGGGGGGACTAATCCTTTTAGTGACACATTTTTACAGTTTAATGCAATAGTAAAGTCTCAGGTTCTTTCAATGGCTACTTGAGGTGCACAGAAACTGGGAGAGAATTACCTAATTATTAAAATATTCTTTACATTCTTCCTTCTTCAACCATAGCCTTGATTGCAGGAGCTATGTTGTTATTGTGTGCCATCATGTGTGTAGATTTTAAAGATAACAGTGACAAAAGATGTTAAATTGAACCTTCCCTTTGCCCATGCGAGGACAACATTATCCAACTAAGGTTGATTTACCATATCTACCTGTTGGATATAATTAAAATAAGACCATTTCTTTGTCCATGCAGCACACAATAAAAGGTTTACTTGGCTCACTCCTTCTTAGAAGCATATACTTGCCTTTCCTTGCTCTTGTAGCGTTCCATTCAGCTGTCGGGAGCAAAATTAAATACCTGGCACTTCTGGGTATGGGTAAGCATGTGACTCACTCCCCCTTTCTCATATGACAGCGCTGATGCCTCCCGATTAACCCAGCCCATCACATGGAGCTAGTGAAGTAGCCCAAAGCCATGTAGAAGCTCCAACAAGTTGGCTTGAAGCTAACAAAGCAGCTAGGGTATGAAGAAATGTGTGTATATGGTACTGGAAAGGGAACAGAGCCATTTGAACCTTTCATTTTGCCCTTCATGGACAAAGGAATGGTCTTGCTTGAATTATGACATGACATGCAGCCATGTAGAAGCGCCAGCAAGTTGTCTTGAAGCTAACAAATGGTACATGGTAAAGTAACCTCAGTTGGATAATATTGTCTCTTTTCATTGACAAAAAAAACTTTCCACTCTTCACATCCAGTCCTAAAAGGAGTATTGCTAACTCCATCTTCTCCACTTGCAGCGCTCTCCCTTAACTTCTATATTCCTTTATATAATAATATAACACTATCCAAGCATGATATATCTTCCTACACGTTCAAGGAGAAAACTGCACAGGCATTGAGCCATGAATTCATTGTAGATCTGAAGGTCATTGCAGGGACCCAGCTTTCTAGGTCAGCAATGCTCATACATAAACATGCCAAGCTGCTATAAATGGGGAATTTATTATGGCATCCACTCATAGCATGTCTGTGAGATCTATTAATGTGCCGTTTGTTGTAATATGCTAGACGTTAATGGATTATTTATAACTTTTTTTTTGCAGCGTGGAAGAATCAATTGAGAAATTGTACGTGTTATTTATTTATTTATTTTTGCTGGCTTTGGATTTCCGAAGTCATCTGGCTAATCTAGAATTTCCACATTACCAGAAGAGAAGGGAAAATAATAATGTCTTTCCAATAATAAACCAACACTACTCTGCCCAGGCACCTTTCCTACCGTATGTAATTACTGCCTAATGCGGTCCTGGAAGCAGAGTAGCTCTGTCTGGATCAATACATATTTATTACTGCACCTCCAATATTGACTTATGTGTTTTTTTTTGTTTTTTTAATCGTTTGTCATGAGCAAGGAGATGGAAGATATTAGACTGGAGCTTTGTGTATGAGGATTGATCAGATTTTAAAGGGAATGAACAGTTCAAGTGTTTGTGATCGTGATCAAGCTAGGCACAATTGAAAAGAACTGTACTGTACATTGACTGCTCTGTTTTCAATGGGCATGAAGCAAATTATCATCTCAGCTTATATGCAACATATTTTTTATTGCATGCATTGGGTGCTTACAGCTGCTCTTCCCATTTTGCAGCCTATCAATGCACAATGTCAGCAGTCTGTTACAACATAGTTAAGTTATGCCCAAAGTCATCTCTCAATATAGGACTAGATGCAATGGAACGCCTTGCGTTGCAATAATTTTTCTCAGTAACAACATACACCATAACATGTGTCATGACACTTTTAATAACATGCATTAACATAACGTCTGGTAATGTACTGTTTATGTGCTGCATTGCCATTCAAAGTTAATTGCATTTCAACGCACATCTACAGTAACAGACTGCTGACCTTGTGCATTGATAGGCTGCAAAATGGGAAGAGCAGCTGTAAGCACCCAAATGCATGCAATAAAAATGATGTTGCATATAAACTGAGATTATAATTTGCTTCATGCCCATAGAAAACAATGCACCTGTGTTATAGCAAACCACAGCATACGGATGCATATGTACAGTGTGCGGTGTTTTTCTATACTGAAAAATATCATGCAGGATCTTTTTTTCGTGAGTGTGTTGAGATGTGCTGAGGACCAATTCATTTTGAATAGGCTGTCTAATACAATGCGCCTCAACACCTCAAATGCATGCGTTGCAGCGCAAATAGACCTAATAGCATTTCTAACGGCAGATATCTAAATACAATCTAATAATTTTGTCTGAGTTTTGTTAAAGCTGGGAGGGTTGGCAATATACAAATGAGCTGATCTACTTAGACACAATACACAATCATTTGTTGTCTATGCCGTATTAGATCAAAAGAGTTGGGAGTCAGTAGAAACCAAAATTACTTTTTTTTATTATCCAAACTTACTTGGGTGAGATAATTATGAAGAGGAAAGGTGGGCAAATCCTATTTTACATTCTTGGCTATTATATGTATGGCTGTTATAGCCACAAGGACCTCACAAGCTATAAAAATGTTTTTCTTGAAAATAGGGTGTTATGCTGTTGGGTTAGAGTAGGGATAGGCAACCTCGGCAATCTAGCTGTTGTGGAACAACATTCAATGTTGCCTGAATCTGTCAGAGTGAAATGACTAAGATAAATATGATCTTGAACATGTTTTATACACAGATTTTAGCTGTTTGTGCTACCCCCATGTGACAATAGTGTCCAGATATATCCCCTGCACTCCGTACAGCGTTAAGGACCTTACAGTAAATGACGGTGCTCGCAGTGATGATCACCGATGGCGCCATGCAATACCAAGGCTTGATGCAAATAAAGTTCACCAGCACTCGATGAATACTTGTAAATTCTTGTTTGTATTTACTTGAAAAGGTGCATCACGTGCAGAAACCAATGCTTCGGGGCCACACAGGGTCCCTATGTCACTCTGATGAAGGGACCCTGCGTGGCCCCGAAACGTTGGTTTTTGCACGTGGCGCACCTTTCCCATGTGACAATGTCTGGCATTGTTCAGAAGGATATTTCTTCATTGTGACAAGACAAGGCTTGTGATGCTCCTCGTAGGAGGGACTTAGTAACAAGCATAACCTTGTTTTTATATTAGCAAAGACTTGTCAAGATGTGAGCCAAATCCACAGTGGCCTGTGATTAATAAAGAGAGCACCTTGCAGCAGACTCACATTTATTTCAAACCGCGTATCCAGATGAAGAGCTTTGGATGTATTAATTAGTTGATCCCTTTGGATGTATTAATTAGTTGATCCCCGCTGGCTCTGTTATTGGTGTCCAGGACATGTTCAGCCAGGGGAATGTCCAGGGCAGAGACAGAACATACTTTATAGATTACAGTATATCTCCCAGCTTGTCTGTAACAACTAGGAATTCAACAAGAAGACAGGGGTTCTTAACTGGGAAGGGGACCAAATGATAAGGATATGAGAATTCATTTCTGAAACCTGATATCAAAAGTGGCAAAACTGACTCAAGTGTTTTGATTGCATAAAAACATTGGCAGAAATCTCACTAGTTGTAGCCAGCTGGTGTATTTGTATATGAAAAAGATCTTTATGATTTTTTTCAGCTGTTCTCCTCCTAGCTAACCATATGTAATGTATGTCTGTGAAGGTTCTCATTCATCCAGGTCAGGGTATATCTGTAAAAAAATAAGTCAAGGCAACTGGACTTGCTGTATTTTTCTTGAAGACCAGCTTTCTCAATTCAGAATGAATGATGACTTAGACAGTCTGATGAAAGGAATATGGGGACGTTTGGGCAATCCTTTGATGATCTGTATTCATAAAAAGGTTGAGAACCCCTGTTCTAAAGCATTCAATAAAAATAAGTTGCAAAATTCAAAATACTGTATTAGCAAATATTCCAAGTGTGAGCTCCCTAACCTGCCACCTAGCAGATTAACATGCAATTTACTGGTGAGCAAAGCTGTAAAATTCAGTAATGCTTAGTGACTTGGAAACTGGCCTGCTTTTTCTGTCCCCACCATAGGAACATAGTTTGGAAATCAATGAAAAAAAGACATACCTGTAATTTACTGGCCAGCGTACCATCCACATGCGATGATAGGACAAGGAAGTGACAGAAAAGCAGGTGACAAGGCTCAAAGTGTAGAAGGTAGACACAAACACTTTGCAGACCCCTTCATTCCACTCATAATCGGAGTGTTGCTTCCTCAGCTGGATCACAGAGTACATAGTGATTGGTATGGTCACATTAAGGATATGAGTTCCGGCCAGAGTGCAGATTAAAAACTCCAAAGGCTTCCATTTCTTCTGTTTGGCACTTATACTAAGAATCCCCCAGGCATTGGCTAGAAGTGAGATCCCTGAACAAATCAGCCAGGCTACCGCGTTGTTGTGCAGTCTCTGCTCATCATTCATGGTGGAGGGTGAAGGCACCATTAGGAGAAGAGCTTCGCGGATCAGATACAAAAAGCAACAGTGACTGCAAATGCATCTTCTGGTAACGTTAGGCTAGTCGTGATATGTTCTGGAAAATGAGAGTACATCCATTTTGACTGGACATCCTACAAAACAAACAAAAGAAACAATGAATTAATTACTGTTGGTAAAATTACCAAAACATTTGTTATAATAATTACCCTTTCACCAGATCATCAGTTCTAAGTCCACAAGTGATGACCTGAGCCAAGCCAACAGAAATGATGGATGGTCTGTATCATCTAATCTATGCCATCACATTGTGTAATATCAGAGTTGCTGGCTCGGTACTGGATCCAACCACAACCAAAACAGCATTGGAGATGCAACACTCACCACGAACCAACTGGTCACCAGGAATTGCATATAAAGTTGATCCTGAAATTCAGATGCGAATTTCATGAACTGGGATCTCCTGAGCGAATTCTAATTTCAGTGTTATTATTGGTAGTGCGGATTCCTAAAACACTTCTTGTAGAAAGGGACAAAAGGCTGCCCTAAAGGCGGTTTTCCAGTTGCCTGGGCACCCTTAGTTTTACTGCCAGTGCCACCAGGTCCCACCATTCAATCTTAGTATCCCTGGAGGAATTTTTAAAGGTAGGCTGGATTTGTTTGGTTCCACCATCTCATCAGACTGGACTCCCAGGAGCTCCCAAACTTGCACAATTTTGAATTGTTTGCAGCTTTGTAATACACAACTGTTTTGGAGCCTGGTTCAGAGATCAAAAGATCTTCCGATTCAGAAATGTTACATTCCAAGTCTTGCAAATTTTTAAAATAATTAATCACATTTTTCAGAAGTTCGCTTATTTCTAATTGGATCATAATTTGAGCTGCCTGCTCCCAGTGGTCACCATGAACCAACCTACCACCAGGGATTTGATCCTGGGTTAAGCGGCCCACTCCCGGATCCGAGTGCTCACCATAAACCCACCTACCACCAGGGACTAAATCCTGATTTGAGCTGCCCACTCCCAGATCCCAGTGCTCAACATGAACCAACCTACCACCAGGGACTGGATGCTGATTTGAGCTGCCCAATCCCAGATTCCAGTGCTCACCATGAACCAACCTACCACCAGGGATTGGATGCTGATTTGAGCTGCCCACCAGGGAATCCCAGGGCTCACCATGAACCAACCTACCACCAGGGATTGGATGCTGATTTAAGCTGCCCACTCCCAGATCACAGTGCTCATCATGAACCAACCTACCACCAGGGACAGGATCCTGATTTCAACCACCTGCTCCCAGATCCTGCGGGCTCACTGCTGGCAGCAACTATGCAGCACTATAAAGAAAGAGCAACCATGACGCACTCATGGTTTGCCTCAAGGCTTCCGCAAGGGGTTACAGAAACATTCCCCCAACTACCATTTTGCATGTATCCCAAAGTTTTCTCAAGACATCTAAAACATGGCTTAATATCAGCATATGGACATATTTGTAAGAATTATTCCATTGAGAAAAAAAATGAGCAATGCATGCAATAAATGAATGGAATACCCAGTTGGCATGTATAGCTTTATAAAAGTGTATGTTCACCCAAAAGAAATATTTTATCAATAGGCAGAGCCTGGTAGGCCAAGCTAGTCCCTGGATATGTCCACCTGGGAGTTTTGCTTGTTTCAGCTCCTCTCATTAAGAACGCAAACAAAATTAGTCGGCAGCCAATTAGTGTGAGCAATAACAAGTCTAAATGCTTTAAGGGAAGAAAAATTTCCCTTTCACTAAAAATATAATGAATACTCAAGCCATTCTATCATTGAATGTTATTAAAAATTAATTCACCTTTTCTAAATCGCAATAAGAAAAAAAATCAAATTTGACTTTCCTATAATTATTGGAAGCCTGGAGGCATTCTATTCACTCTGTGAACAAATTACTGCTCAAAATCTATTCCTCCGCCCATGCAGTTGGCTCACTCTTTTTACCAAAAGCCTGCACAGAGCTGGAAATTAGATTATAGGCATCCTCTGTATGTCATCTTTAAAGACAGCCTAGGGAAGAGTGATAAAAAAAAAATGGATGTTTAAGGTTAAGGGGATAAAGTGTTTCTTTTGCAACCACGGGGCTGCTCATAATGTAAGCAGACCCACCTACTTAGCAGTCAGTTTGAGAAAGGAAGCGGTAGGGTTTACACCCATATCTGAAGATCGGTAGCAATTAAGAACCAGCCAAAGTTTCAGTATCATTGTAGGAGTCAGCAGCAGGAACCACAGTGCACAGTGTGGGGGGGTGTGGGGGGGATCAGGAATCCGACACTACCAGTTGTGTTGAATTTTGAAAGATGCTCCGATTTCTTCTTATTTACAGCAGCAATGGCGACATGAGCAGCGGAACTGCTGAGTATTTACCTTCTTCCTTGCAGGGGCCATATTGTTTTAGTAGTATTAATTTAGCGCTTTAGGATGTATTGCTAAATTGCAGTGCAGTCTGCAGGTCGTCCCGAGACCTGGTTGGCAGAAGTGACCTAATCACGGGACTGGTTGAACAGTGCTGTAAATCTTTGGGCATGCAAGACAGTTCACTTATCGGTGGATCAATGGTATTAGATGTCTGTCTGGAGTTCAGCTTTCAAGCAGTCCAAGAGGTGGGTAGGTAGGAGGCAGTTAGCTCAGGCAGCATCTCGTTGGAGGGGGTTGCAGTGGGGCGCCCACAGTGTACCAGGTCGGTAGGAGCTCTTAGCAACCTGTGATGCTCTGCCTGGTGTCCCGCCTAGCGCACTGATGTCACTGATTGCCAGGAGCAGAGCGGGACGCTCTGGCTGGTGTCCTGCTGAGCTCCTGGCAACCAGTGATGTCAGGGAACTGGGCGGGATGCCAGACAGAGCCGCTGACATCACGGCTCAAACAACGCTACCAAACGCGCCCCCTACCCTGGGAGTGACAATTCCGTGATAGCACAAGCCCCCCTAATGACTATACACTCAGAGCAACGTTACACCCCAACAGCTCCCCCCCCCATACAGGGGAAGGGGATGCCAAAAAACCCTCAATAGACCACAATTTCACATCTAGAGCCCAAACCCCGCTCCGTTAATCTAACGCTCTGCTTGCCAAAACACTTGTGTCAGGGAGCCAAAAGCTTTCTGAACAGCAGCCGAACACCTTTCCTTCAAAGTACAAAAAAGTAATAAAAACGATGATTCACCAAAAGTGTGGGCTTTTTTTATTGCAACAGACGAAAATAAGCCAAGCGCGGCGATACTTATGTCAAGTGACCTTTACGTCTTAATAATCACACTCCGCTATCATGCTAATCTCCACTCCATGCATAATCTTTTAAACACCTTGTTTAAATGGAAAATGCCGTCTATTTATAAGTACAGCGATTGTTCTTGTTATTTTATACCGCATCAGCCGGAAAACACAAGACCTGGAGTAACATGTTCTGAATGCAAAGCTTAGCTGTTCACTTCTATATAAATGAATATTCTTCCTTCTCCACCTACACAAAGGGTCTAGGTCAGCTTGTTAAAGTTGAACTATTTCACCCCATGGGAAAAATAATATCTCTGTGGCACTTAATTATAAGTGTATCTGCGCTCACAGTTTTCTCTTAGTCCCCCTGCAAAGTCTCACTAATACCATTTGATCCTGCCAGTGAAGTCCACCCAATACAGCGTCCTGTAACAGGGTGGCAACAATGCTTCACTGCACCCAAATTCAGAGCAGAGTTGCCACTCTCATTTAGGCTGTGCCTGCTTGTACTACAGTGGAAGGAGAAGATGTTCTGGGGAGAGCATGGCTAACTGCATTGTCACTGCTGACTCACAGGTGTGTAGCTTATCAATCAGCACCTGGCCACACGTAGCACCACTACTTACCTTGCCCATGGCTTCCATGCGAGTGTCTAGTTGAATGTGAAGTCAGGATCCTTCCAGTGTGAGCCTTTAAATGTTCAATATCCCAAACACCAAAACAAGCTTCCAATGTGCAAGATTTGGAATACTCAGTGTTCCTAGGATCTCACCAGTACGATGGTGACCTTACCCTCTCCAGTGCTAAAACTAGGGGCAAGGTAAGTGTATTTATTTGATAGATTTGATGTCACAATTTGAGATGGTGGGGGGAGGCACCAAGAGGTCCACCTTACCTTCAACTATCTATATTTCTGAATCTGTTGATCATTTTCACATGCTGGTGACTCCTGCTGATAGATTTTACATGCTCAGTTCATGTTGCCCAGGTTTCTGTCTCCAGGCATTGACCCACAAACACTTCCTTCTCCTTCCTTGGCCATGGCTTCCCAAATGTCCATCATATGGAACCAAACCCCCTGTCCCTCCTTCATCCTCAGTTGTCCTTCTTGTTGGTATGATGGAGAGACATGAAAAGGTTCTATTTAACCCCCAAAAGTGTTCTTCTGCTCGAAACCCTTCATCAAATCTCTTTATTGTCTCATTTGCCATTTCAAAATGCAATATAAAAGGCAAAGTAATGGTTCTGTGTTTAGCCAACCATTTTTGGGAAATCATTTGTTATGGTCCACATAATGAAGTTAATGAGAGAAACCCAATCCTCAAATTTGAGTCCGAAGTCTTTCTATAAGCACAGATCACTGTAAATTCGGCCATGTTGCCCCAGATAGCAAGGATAACTTGCCAAAAACTTGTGGCAGAGTTAAATTGTAATTCTTGTTAACTTGCTGCACACATTCCTGGCAAGTTGTAGACTTGCAGAACACTCGCAGCACAAGTTCTAGTTGACACTTTTTGAATTTGTAACAAATTTGCTTGGCAAGTATACAGCAAGAGTCCTGCAGGTCTTAGCAAGAGCTCTGCAGGTGTACAGCCCTTTTGTAAAGCACGTTGATCTGGAGACTTGCAATGCAGACTTGCTGTAGTTGTGCAACAAAATTGTGAAGCTTGGCAAATCTGCAATAGTTTAGCAAGTCATTTTCAAACTTGCAGCTCAATTGCTTGCTATCTGCGGCCTGCTGCAACAAAAAACAAAACCTTTTATTTAAAACATGTAAAAGGTAAGAAATATTTTTTTACAAATAATTTTTTGGTATGCTGTGTGAATGAGTACACATAACAAACAAAAGTGGAAGTACACTTTAAGTTTGGTCCAAAGCCCAT